GTGGCTTTTTATTTAATAAAAATAAATAAATGTTATGGTTATGGCAACGCTCTTGCCCTCTCTCTTGCCCCTTCCCCCCATTGGGCCAAAAAAGGACATCATCATCATTACGGCTCTCATCTCATTTTATCTCTCGCCCGCAGGGTAACAACAACAACGACGACGACGAAGTTTATCAAAAGGCCAAAAGCCCAGCAACAATGGCGACGGCAGCAGAGGACCCACTCATCCCCACTCCTCTCTTCACCTCTCTGTGTTCCGTTTTAAGAGCATGCGCCGTGCATACTAGTGCTTTACAAAGTATGTGTGTGGGGTTTCGCATTGTTGTTGTTGTTTTCACCTCAAAAAATATTAAAATTGTGGTAAATAAATGAAAAATAAAATATGTGGGTATATAAAAAGTATGTATGTATGCATACACAGGCGTTCCCTTCCAGGCTAAAAGAGATTTCCCCTGGTGTTCCTCTCTCTTGCTATCTCTCTTCCCCCCACTCTCGTTCACTCTGCTGCGGCCGCCATTGCTAAACGGCGATGCCAACGCCAGCGCCAGCGCCGACGTCGACGTCAGCGCCAAGTGGATGGCCAATTCTTGTGGGTACATTAGCACTAATGATGATTGAAACGACAAACGTGACGCCGAAGCACCCGAAAGGATCCTCTCCATCCCCCCCACTTTCCCATTTCCCTTTTCGGCTGCAAATTCCTGGCTCTGATTTTTGAATTTGTCTCTCTTTGGTTTTTTTGAAAGAGGAGTGGAAAGTTGGACATGGCGAGGAGATACATCGGGAGAACAATCCAATAATAAACCGTTAGTTTCATTTTATACATATGGGTGCCTAACGTGCGGGTTATATTAATTTTATTTGATCAAGTAAAATAAACCCCTTTAGGGTTTAAAGAAAAAAATCGACTTAAAAAAAACTAACAATAATTCTTTAAGTATTAAATATTTTTTATGAGATTACGAATTGCTCTTAATTCCAAAATTGGACTGCAAAAAGCGATAATGAAATATTAATTTTCTAAAACTTTAATTTATATAGTTAGACAATTTATTTGTCTTTTAGATAACATTGGGGAAAAATATAATTATAAGCTTTAAATCCCAAAAAGTTTAATGCGTCCAAAACTTTAAATTTCTGTGTATACTCGTCATGAACCATTTGCTTTGTTCTTTTTTGGGATTTTGCTTTTCTGCTCGTTTCACGTTCTCTTGCATTGATTTACTTTGATGGGCCACTAATTGGGGCCTCCTTCGTCTTCCTGTGTCCGCCAATTCCGCTGGCTCGTAATGATCGTTGGCATTCCGTGTAGTTTATCAAACGGTAAATTGAAGACCCGTTTGGGCGGAAAAGGGGTTGTAGGAAAGGCATGGCTAATTGGGGTTGAGTTTGGGGTTGAGCTGCGGCTGAAGATAGTTTGCATTACCAACTAAGTTAACCGATTTTGGACAAGAACGAGTTTGAAGTTGTTTTTGAGTAATTTAAAATCAGTAATATTTAAATTTTTTAAGAAGCCCTTTATTTGATTTTAAACAAACGTACATTTAGCAAAAATATGACTTTTAACATATTAAACTAAAATAATTTGAGATATAAATAAATATCCAAGAGTATAAAACAACAATAATTTAAGCCTAAGAAGTAAAATCTTCTTTACATTCTAAAAAATACGTTTTTATTTTGTCGATTTGTCCTTAATATTACCATAGTTTGTCCTTCGTTCTATAAGATTCGGGATCTTTTCTTACTTGTTATGTGTCCCCGATGAAATTTCGCTTATTGCTTCATTAATTATGTCTGTCCCCAGAGCGACTTTTCCACTTACTCACAAAATATTATTAATCTGCGTCGCCATATTGTTTCGCATTTATTTTCCGTCTGCTTTTGGTACCGCCCATTTACCATAAGCAAGGGAGACGGCGACAGTGAGCCAATTATCCATTTATATCATAATTTCAATAACTTTTCATACACTCGGCCTCGAAACGAGGGGTTTACCGAATGGGTGTGGGCAAGGTTGCTCTGATAGGTGGGTGGTTCGAATAGTGGGTGGTGGGTTGGTCGGCGGGTTACTCGCTTTGGTGGGTGATTCCTTTTTATGTAACTGCCTGGTGGTTGATGATGATGATGATGAGGCTTCGGTTGACGATGTTGTCAGGCCTTCTTCTTCTCATCCCTACCCTTCTTCAGTGGCTCGAATCTAAGTTGGGGGCAGGGTTGTCAGATTTAGGAAAAAATAGCAATATTTTTATTATTGTGATATTTTTGAGATATCTTCCAACTAAGTCTGATTTGTATGTTGATTTAGCCACAAAGAAATTAATAATAAAAAACAAGTTTTTTCTAAAATTTAGAATTTTTAAACCCGTGCAATGAGTTTGGTTAAAAACAATTTTATAAATATTTAAGTTGTTTTTTAAACATTAAAAAAAATTGTAAAAGTAATAATAATATAGATTCCGTTAATAATAATAATAATATAGATTCCGTTAGTATACGAATAATAAAATAGGTTAAGTAGAACAAACTTTTTTTTGACCCAAGAGTTTTGTGAGTTCTGATTAGGAAATCGGTAAGTTTCGACAACCCTACTTGAGAGCAAAAAACGCAGAAAGAAAAGCGGCTAGAAAAATCACAACGGCAACTCTCACCCACCCACAAAAGAATCACTTACTCACGCACACACACTCACAGTCTCGCCAAAGCAGCGCTGCATGCGTCGCTGCCGCCGTCGGCTGCCAATATTGTAAAAATTTTACGGCCACGAACTTTTGAGTTCAGTTCAGTTTGCAACACGTTCGCGTTCGCATGCGTTTCCGGTCGTAAAAGTTTCCACCGATTTTCAATTTGATTTCCCGTGCGAATTCCGTTACAGCCGAAAGGAAGGCGCAGAACTGTAGGCAACACTTTTTGTATTGCCGTCGGAAAAACAGATTTTACGGATTTTGTGAAAATATAGTGAACAATATAAGAACAGCGACAATTTGCCACATTTTTGGATTATATTTTAAACGGATCATAAATGAAATTAATATTTATGCCCTTGGGACTCCACTAATAGTAAAGGTTTGTGTACGTTGTTTTAAACAAATACCGTCGGGGCTTTAAATCAAGATATTTTAAAAACAAATAAAACTTTGGGAAAGACTTTCATGTCGTTTTAATAGTTGTTATAACAAGTTTGAAACATAGACCTAAAATAACTGTTAAAGTTAAATTTTTCTTACCAAAAACATTTGAGATAAGGAAGTGTTCTAGAAAAAAGTCAACTATACGAATATCATTATTAGGAATTGTCCGCAATTATTTGTATTTTTTGGTTTTATATTAAAGTAAAAAGTAAAACTTATAGAATAAGTGTCATTGTCATGTTGTATAATAAAACTTAAAGAAAACTTACTCGAGTTTCATATTATAAATCATTTGTAAAAAGGTGATTCCTAAAAAAACTTATTAGAGTTGCAGTCCTTGATATGCAAATTATTTGTATTATATTTTTCATTACATGTTTTTACACATTTGTTAAGACATTATGGTTGCTTCATTAATTATGTTGAACATTTAGCAAACCTTAGGTCATGTTTTTATTAAATATGTGCTATTGCTTAGTGATTGCTTTTCGGATAGTTTTTTTTTATTTTAAATTTATAATTTGTTTAAAAATTAAATTGAGAATGTTTTTATAAAAGACTAAAAAGGGGGTTTAATTAGTGCTCGTTTTAAAAATTGAAGCAATTGCGAAACTAAATCCGATGGTAAGATGTACCGGAAAGTATCAAAATTTTCTTCTCAATTAATGCGCTAGTTTGTGTCCCTTAAAATTTCTATCCGGAATGTGTTTGAAATCCACTTGTTACACCCAATTTGCATTCCCCTAATCCTAATGAAGCTCATTTGGCTCGCACACGAGGTTGGCTTCAGCTGTTTAGTTAAATCAGCTTAAATGCAGCTCGAGACATTCACATATTTGGCCAACAGCACAAACAATGGGCGACAACTGAGTTGATGGCTGGGACTTGGGATGCTTAACGCACTTGGGAGAGCAACTACATCGGCAACACAAGGAGCAGCATTTGCATTTGCGGCAGCCACAATGAACCAGCAAGCTGTGACAAAGTCTCAATTAGGCTATCACATTGCCACAAACCGATTCAGGTTTAGGTTTAACTGGGGAATGCGTGCGAGCGAGAGGACCCGCAATTAAGCAAATGAATGCATCGCTGAGAGTGCGAATTGGTACACTAATCAAAAATATCTTTCAAAATTTACAATTTAAAACTGCTTTGTTTTTTAAAAACTACGGAAATCCAATGGAAAAATCATTATTATGTTAAACTTTTTATATTATTTTGTATTCTTTAAAAGTAGATAATTATCATGTTGTTATTATATTTCGTTTTTTAAAGATATATGATATCGAAATCTTATTTAAATACTTTTAAACTGGTTTTACAATTTTAACTTTAAATTGGGATCTCTTCTTATTTTTTTTTAATGTACATTTTTTTTATATTTAACTGAGTAAGTATGCAGTTACTTAGAAATGAGAACATGTTAAAACTTTCTTTAATTTGTAGCCATATCCTATTCATTTATGGAAGCCAAAATCACACTAGTTAGCTTAAGATTTTAATATTAATATTTCGATTGATAATACTATAATGTAATATTAGGGAAAGTTTTCAAAATTTGGTCAGGTTTCTTTACCGTGTGAAGGGAAAGGGGCTGAGGGAGGGGACAGTCTTAACCCTTTGTGGTTACATTGTCCCATCCCAGACCACCGCTGACCAAGCACTTCATGGTAGAGCAATTTCGCCAGGCATAAGATCACATTTCACTTAATTGTGGATTTAATCAGGGAGTCGTTGACACCTGGCCGCTGCAACTCGACAACAATTAATTTGAGCCATTCCACCCATTTGCAGAGACCGAAATCCGGAGGCCGAGAGAGACCAAAGGCAGACGACAACTTGGAGACACTGTGGCAAATACCTAAGCATGCTGCAGAATCCTTCCAAATATCACGCAAATCCCTTGTCGCACTTCCTGGCATTGCATAACACACAGGCCAGTGGCGTCGGCGGCGGGGGCTCAGCGGGGGTCGGCGGATTGGGAGGGGCCATCCCGGCACATGGTCAACCGCACCCGCATCATCATCATGCGCTGGCAGCGGCTGCAGCAGCGGCGGCCGCCGTCTCGGCGGGTCAGAGTTCATACCAAATGGAGCACCAGCAGCAGCAGCAACAGCAGCATCATCATCAGCTGCAACAGCAACATCATCATCAGCAGCTCCACAACCCCAGCAACCACCAGCAGGATGGCCACCACCCACCGACAACAGGCAGTGGCGGTGGCAGCAGCAACAGCAGCAGCAACAACAGCAGCAACAACAGCAGCAACAACAGCAGCAGCAACAGCAACCACCGGGAACAGTTGGCGGCGGCTGCCACTGCGACGTCGCACGCGCAGCTCATCGAGGCGGCAGCGGCGCATTCCTCCCTCGACGTGGGCAAGTCCTTCACCATCGCCGCCATTTTGGGCCTGCAGAGCCAACGCAAGGACTACAACAATGCCATCAATCTCTCCCTGCACGACAACAACAATATTGGCGACGACAACAACAAGTGCTACGGCAGCAGCAACAACAACAGCAGCAATAACAACAGCCAGAGTGTAAACAACTTTAATTGTGATAGTGGCGCCGGCAGTGGACGTTACCTGCACGGCGGACTTCCGCACTCGCATCCTCACCAGGCGGGATTCGCCGCCGTTGCCGCCGCCGTGGGAGCTGCTCCCTCTGCCCTCCAGAGCCTGCAGCAGCTCCACCAGCAACACCACGCCCAACAACAGGCCACGCTGAGCTTTCAGCGGGAGAAACTCAAGTCGGGTAAGAGATAAGAAGTGGTTTTTATTAACCATCTTTAAAAATATTTTCTTAAAATTCCATGAGATAGAAAATATACAAAGTTTCTCAACATTTTATAAAAGTACCTAAAAAAAAGGTTTTAATTAAAGTCCTGCATGAGTATACTTGAATTGACAAACAAGTCAATTTTTGAAATTAAAGTGAGTGAGATCAACTTGGATAGCTTGTTTCACTTGATCACTCGTAAGGAAAAACAAGTGATACAAGCACAGAATAAAAGTGAGTGGGAGTTATAGAATTACTAAGCAAATTATTTCGGCGATTCTAAAATATTTTATATTTATTTATTTTATATTATATCAATTGTTTTTCCTTATGAAAAAATCAAGTGATCCAAGTTAACTGAAATTAAAAATTGACTTGTTTGACAACTCATGCAGGACTCTAATTTTAATTAGTATAGGCAGTTTAAAACAAATTATAAACCCATTCTTTTTAACGGTATTAAAGGAAATTAAAATATAATACTAAGGTATACACTCAAAAAGTATTTGGTCAATTGCGACTTTTTCTATAAATTAGGACAACAATTTACTTTTAAAGAACTTTTTTTTAAATAAAGTACAATTTCTAAATAAAATATAACAAACTTGATGTAAGTTCTTAAAAAAAATTCCATTTGACTTTCTAAAATAAGAATTAATTTAAATTAAACATCATTCGACAATTTATAACACCTTTCTTAAACGACTTTGTACCTTATCATAATTTTCTTATTCCGCAGACTCTCACAAGAAGAGCGCGCTGAAGAACAAACGGGTCCGGACAATCTTTACGCCGGAGCAGCTGGAATGCCTGGAGGCGGAATTTGAGCGACAACAGTACATGGTTGGGCCCGAGAGGCTCTACCTCGCACACACACTCAAGCTAACGGAGGCGCAGGTGAAGGTTTGGTTCCAGAACAGGCGGATCAAGTGGCGTAAGCATCACCTGGAACTCACGCAACAGCGGCTAGCACTGATACGACAGACCCAGCTGCCTGGCACGGCGATCCTGGGCAATCAGGTGTCCGTGGCTACCAATGCGGCCCACTCTGCGTCCACGGATCTCACAACCGGATGCAGTGCAGCCTCGCCCAGTCTGCATGAGGAGGACAACGAGGACAGTAAGCACTCCCTCTCGCTATCCGGCGTCATGCCGCCGCTGAGTCGGGCGCAATCCGAGTCAGATCTGTCCATCTGCAATGATTCCCTGGACGGCGACAGCCTCATGGATGGAAGCGAAGAGGCCTAGAGATCTCGCCAGTGCAAAGCAAGTTATCTGTAAATATAGCCAAATAAATATGTACAATATGGGTTTTCTTTATCTCTCTGCGTGTCTTTTAATAGCATTATTATACATATTTACTTTTTACATTTAATTTGTCAAGCGCAATTGTATTTAGGTAAATTAAACATATTTGGAATTGAATTAATGATTAATTCATGAATTCATGTTAGAGCCCTGCGTGTATCATTCAATTTTTGTTTTATCATAGTATGCCATGAAATGTCTAATATTTGTTTAATTCAATTCTATGTGAAATAAATTGAATGTGTTTCTAATTCATTTCGAATTGAATAAATGAATGAATAATTTTTATACATTTTTTGAATTTGGCAGATTTGTTTGTGCCTTCTTTTGAGAACAAAAAGTGGAAAATTTTTAACAAATCAATGTTAACTGCTTAGTAAATAAAATTCAGGCAGATTTAATCACAAAATTATGGCCCTTTCTTCTTCAAAAGAAATTGTCGTTTGAAATATTTCGGAATTCATGCCATTCATTCATTCAATTCTATTAAACTCAAAATTCAAAATCATTCAATTCTATTAAACTGAAAATACGAATTAATTCATTCATATACAAAAAAAATCGAAATGATTCTTTGAATCCATTCATGCAGGGCTCTAATATGCAATGAGCTTTGGCCAAAGCTAAATTAATCAAGTTAAATGGATGATAAAGACAGTTACATTTAATTCGATCCTAACACTTTGATAGGTTATCACATTAGAGTATTTCATTTATTGCTGAGCAGCCGCCCTGGCGATGCGTGCGTGACAGGATAGGTGCACGATCTGCCCGTTCGGGTAGCGCACAAAGGCAGACTGGCTGGGAAAGCGCTTCTTGCACTCGGGACACACGCTGAACTCGTTCAGTTCGAAGCTGATGTTTCGCTGCTCCTCCACCGCAGCCTCCAGACGATTGCTCTCCGCCTCCAGGAGGCCGCACATCATCTGCATCTGATGCTTGTCGGCCATTTTCTTACGTATCGACTTCTCCAGGTATTTCTCCAACTGCTGCATAGGCAAGTCATCTGGAAGGTGCTGTAGGAAATGAATGTTAAGTAGTTACAACTAACAATACAAGCATTTAAGGCTAAGATCACCTCAAAGATCTCAAAAGGATCGATTTTAGTGGCATGGGTATTGAGCAGTTCCAGAGCCACCTCTCGATTCACTTCAACGAAATCCGGATGCAGGGGGACGCCCTCGTAGGGCGGCTCAGTGGGTGGGATCAGTATGCACTTGATGAGCGTGTGGAATATGTTCTCATCCTCCTTAAAGTTGGCTTCCGCATAGGACTTTGCCTTGGCCACATCGCCCAGAACATGTATGTAGATGGACAGCACCTTATCGTGTTTTTTTAGACGACCCAGAATGAGAGCTCGCTCCTCCAGCAGCATGTTGGTGGGGAACTCCTCTAGAACGCGATCTGGGGAGTAGTCATTGGACTCCTCCAGCATCTTGTAAAGCTTGGCTCGCATGGGAATCAGTTCGGGAACTTCCTCTCTGGAAAATATAATGATTTAATACAAATTTTAAACAATAGAATGATAGACACACCCCTTTTCCTGCTGGCTAATGAGACGTTGAACCTGCTCGCGATACTGCTTGAGTAGCACATTGTGCAGCAGGGTATTGCTATCCTTCCACTCGGTAATCAGATGCTCCAAGTAAGGAACAACCAGTGCCTTGTGCTTGCTGATAAGAAAGTCCAGAACTTTGGCGCGCGGCAGGGACTCCACCTCGATGAGTTCGTCGGTGAAAATTGAGAGGCCCTCTTCGGGGCTTTCATTTAACACCCAGTCGGCGAACTCAAATATCAGCGGCAGATGATCGCCGCCCAGCTCCTGAAGGTAGCGTATTGTACGCTTGCGACCCTGCAGCACCGATCCCTCGATGCTCGCCTGATCTCGCAGAAGTTTGAGGGCCTCCTTGTGCTTGCCCTTCATCTGATAGAGGATGATCAGCTCCGATATCTTGTTGTGCTTCTTCAGCGTCTTCTCCGACTCCTCTAAATGACATTGGTTGAGCCGGAGAAGCGGGGCCACCAGCGAGTCGTTCGTCTGCAGGTAGCATTTTAGCAACGTGGTGTCGATAATCTCTAGCAACGATTTCGAACTACTTTTCGTGTCGCGCAGCTTGACCACCTCCCGCTGGCGAGCCAAGGCAAGGTACTCGATCAGCGCCAGGTAGGCGTTCTCCAGGTCGTCATCCTCCAGCGCAGGAGCACTGGACGCAGGCACGGCGGCGTCCTCCGAGCCTGGCTTCTGCTCAGGCACCAAATTGGGAAACAGTCTTATCACATCGTAGGGATCGATGGCCGCCCTTTCGAACTCCTTCATGGCCGCCGAGAACTCCTTGCTGGTGAAGAGCTCCTTGGCGTAGAGCATGTGTATCTGGCGAATGGTTTGGTCTCGCTCCACGGCGGGTTCATCGGATATTTGCTGTAATTAATGGTTTAATAAGTTAACTTATAAGAAGATTCCTCTTTCTGACTCACCGTCAGTTCAATGGCCAGTTGGAATTTCTTTTGCTGCACTAGCTGCTGCCGCTGCGTGGGAATGTCCACCATTCGGATGCACCAGAGCTCTGAGGTCGCGGCAGCAAAGATGGTTCCCTTGTCGGCGTGGACCAGGAACTTGGTCTTTTGCAGCTCGGGAATGCTCTGGACGAGGGTGTCCTTGCCCACCAGGCTGCGCACCTCGATGGCATTGTTAACGCGACCCACTGCGTAAGGCTCATCCCAAACTATAAATTATGGAGTGTGCGATTAGAGTAGAGAAGTGGAAATAGAGATTGTTCCTACCCAAATCCAGCAGGGGACTTGACCAGAGCAGCGGAGTGAGGGAACTGTTGCTCTCCATGCCACCTGGTCGCACATCGGTGGAGCCATCGGACTCCTTGTACTGACTGGGATCCACTACAACCAGGTAGCTGTCCTTGGATATGCCCAGCAGGCTGTTGCGGATGAGGCAGATGCAGGGATCTCTGCTGACACTGGAGGAGGTTAAGAACAGATCGTGCTTCTTTGGTGCTTTGCCAGATATCTAGAAGAGCACATGAAGGCTTTAGAACACAAGGTACTTTTGCTTTGAGTGATTATCTTACATCGTAGACCACATACTCGTCCTTGTAGCCCACGCAGACGGCATGACCCACCCAGCAAAGGGTCCTGGGCACGTCGCTCAGCTCGATGTTGAGCAACAGCGAGTCCAGCTTGTCCTTTTTCCAGAAGAAGAACACCAGGCGCCGCCGGATGGCGCAGCACAGGCGAATGACGGTGCCCACACTTCCGGTCGTGGACTTTGGCGTGTCCACGTCCATGGCGAACAGGGTGCAGCCCTTGGTGTCCGGAGCGCTGTGCATGAAGGCGAAGTTGCTCTCGATCCGCCGGATGTCGCACACCTGCACCTGGTTGTCGGTGAGCACAAAGAGCAGGTTCTCCGACGCAATCACCTCCATTTGGGTGATGGGTTTGCGGCTAAAGTTCTTGTTGAACATCCGCATGTCCACGCCGGTCTCCTCGTCCACGGAGTACATGATGAGCTGCCCGCTACGGGTGCCCAAGATGACATGGTTGCCTGGAACAAAGCAACCGGTGAGTAATACTCCAAGTAAACTTTAAGATTCCCACTCACCATACGCCGCTATGGACTCGATCTGCACGCCCTGCTTCAGGATGGAGTGAACGCTGTAGGCCTGGTGCATCCTGGCGAAGTCAGAGGCTGTGAAATTCCTCCGCCAAAGTTTATTTTCCTATAAAGCTTATAAACAATAGAAAGGGAGTACCTCTAATGTTGCAATCGATATATTGAGGAGATGGTAATCGATGTTTTTGTGGCGATTGTTCAGTATTCCTGTACTTCATACATTTTTTATCTTCTTTATAATCTAAATTTTTATAAAATTAATATAAAATTTTTAATTAAATTTTAATAACTTTTAAATTTAAATATCACCGATAAATCGAACCCGTGCTGCCAGACCCGTGACTGCTATCGATAACACCGGTTCGATACACTGGTTCCGCGCGGAACCGCTCTTTTCACTTTAGCGAGGCGAAATTGTCACATTTACATTTGACAAAATTGTAAGTTTGGAAACGGCTCGACTGGTATTTCTCGTGCCAAATATGTTCGTTACATTACCCAGCGTCTAGTGCAGTCGGTTATTAACGGTTTTACATTGTTACCCGCAACAGCGTCGACAACACCCCCGCAGACAGCAACAACAACGCTAGAAGGCAGCACATCAGCAGCAGCAACAGCAACAGCAAGAAACAGCCAAGATGCCCAAGAATAAAGGAAAGGGAGGCAAGAACCGTCGTCGTGGTAAGAACGAGAACGAGTTCGAGAAGCGAGAGCTGATCTTCAAGGAGGACCAGCAGGAGTACGCGCAGGTGACCAAGATGCTGGGCAACGGTCGCCTGGAGGCAATGTGCTTCGATGGCGTCAAACGCCTGTGTCACATTCGGGGGAAACTTCGCAAGAAGGTGAGTTTTGATTTTGCTTTCGCCCTGGCTCTTTGTTGGCGCTCTCTTAAGTGTTTTTGGGGCTAAGCTCTCTCTTAAGTGGCGAGCTACTCTCTTCGTTCGCTCTCTTAAGCCACTCTGGCATTGATTGCTACGTATTTACATTTATTGTTTTGCAAAAATGCATGCCGATTGTGTGTGTCCATGTGTGATTTTGGGGTTTTTCGCAAGTTCCCAATTAATTCGCTTTTTACGGCCCTAACGTTGGCCTTCTTACTCAGCTCTCTTTGCTTGCCATTCTCTTTCTCTGGTCCATTGAGTGGGAGTCATCGTCCTTGTGCGAATGCATTAACAAAGGGGAGTGGGCGATAGGTGGGGTGGGAGGGGCAACTGATTAATAATACACAAGTGCCTATGTACCAGATGTACACTCATACAAGCATAGATGAAAGCTAAACATTAGCATTGCAAATACAAGGTGCCTCACCATCTTATGAACTGAATAGTATGTCAAATAAATTATTTATGTATTAAATTTACACAAAAAAGGTAATTTCTTTGTTATTGTGTCTTAAATAGAATAACAAATAACTTTAAAATAATATTTAAAAAATTATAGGCTTTTAAAAAAAATAGAGTATGATATAAATCTTATGTTTGTTTTTTAATATTGAATTAATAACAGAATTAAAAATGATCTAAATTCAGTATGTCCAAAAGATATATATTTAAAACTAATATTTCATTTCATGAAACGATGAGTTTTCTATGAAAATATTGATCCTGCTAGGAACTATCTCCTAAAAATAGGCAAGTTCTTATGTAAACTGCCTGGGATTTGAATAGAAACTTAAGGTACCTGAAAACTACTGCGAAATAGTGCAGGGCTAACAATAAAGTAGGTCTGCAATTGCAGTTGCCCCTTATCATCTACCTGAGTTAACCTTGGTCGTGGTCTTCTTGGTCGTCCATAAACCGATTAGATCGGTTCTTCCGAAAGGTATGAGCACATGTCAAATTTTGGATGGTGCTTCACCCCGCAGGAGACGGGCGTCATAAATAAGATTCCACATCGACTACGTCAAGAATCGCGAGTAACTAGTGACGTCTAGGGGCTCTTGTAGGTGTCAAGTAAATATACAAGACCAGAAGTGGAGCCCAATCGAAGCGAACATATCATGTCATGAAGTTATAAACAAAGAGACGCAACCGAAAAATTCCTAGACGGTGAAAAACATGTGCCAGGTTAATTGCCGATATTGGCGCGCACTGTAAATGCAAATAAAGCTCTTGAAATCGAAGTTCACCTTGCGAAAACAAAATACAGATAGTGATCTATTTTTGCGCCTTGAATTCCAATGAATTTGGACAATAGATCTTGGACTTTTTATACCCGTTACTCGTAGAGTAAAAGGGTATATTAGATTCGTGCAAAAGTATGTAACAGGTAGAAGGAAGCGTTTCCGACCCTATAAACTATATATATTCTTGATCAGGATCACTAGCCGAGTCGATCTAGCCATGTCCGTCTGTCCGTCTGTCTGTCCGTCTGTCTGTCTGTCTGTCTGTCTGTCTGTCTGTCTGTCTGTATGAACGCTGAGATCTCGGAAACTACAAAAGCTAGAAGATTGACATTTTGCATGCAGATTCTAGGAGTACCTACGCAGCGCAAGTTTGTTTCAAAAGGGTGCCACGCCCCCTCTAACGCCCACAATCGCTTATATCCGATTTTAAAAATTTCAATATTTTGGAAAAGTAAAAATGCAGTTTTGTTGTGTTTAAAAATACCTATCGAAATGTAGAAGAAATTTTTTAAATCGGACCATTCGTTAAAAAGTTACGGCGGATCAAAGCTTTTATCTCCATCTCCTTCGCATTCCCTTTAGCTGAGTAACGGGTATCTGATAGTCGGGGCACCCGACTATAGCGTTCTCTCTTGTTTATCTTTATAAATGCAATAAAAGAATAGGCTATTTAATAGATTATTCCAAATAGATTAGGGCAGTAAATCATCTAGCATATCAGATATTTCTTTTGCACCTTTAAGTTTTTAAGGTCTTGCTTTCACATGCAATTCCATAAAAACCCGGTGAAAGAATTTTAAACTGTTATAAACACGTGCTGCGCCATAAAATTAACCTCATTAACATCCTGACTTGGCAATTATTCTTTGATCGAATTTGGTCAAGTTGTTGGGGGCATTTATCTAATCTACAGTTAAAAGTCATGCCCAAGACATTGAAATTCTAATGTGAAAGCAAGTACGACGCAATTTTATGTGTCCGAATATTCGACTTGATCTCCATAAATGGATTTGTAATCTCACATGATCACATAATGGATGGTTATGTAAGACTCGGCTGTTATGTAGGGGATGCACTCGGCGCATGTGGCCCAATTAACATTAAATTAGCCCCTAATCTTTCAAGTAGTTTGCCTAAGGAATTTATTGGCGCTTGCACAGGTAGATTTATGTGGTTCGATTGTAATCTTTTTGAAGAGATTTGTATAACAAAAAAAATTTCCCATTAGGAATTTTAAATAATTTTTTTTGTCTTACAACTAGTAAATACACGTAACCAATTGTAAATAAAGCTGACGCATTATAAAAACCCAGAAAAACCAGAGATTATAAATTCATCCTCTTTGCTATCTTTAAAAATATAATTAATTTATTTTATTACTTATCTTTATCTATGAAAATGCCATATAATTGATTTGATCATAACAAAATAATTTGAATACCTTATGGGACCTTTTGGTGCTTCACCCACACTCTCTAGGCCATCTGTCAAATATTAATTGAATAATTGATAATTCCTGGAAAGGCGGAATTACACCTTGCTGCCCCCTCAATTACTCAGTTCTCGAGGGCTCAAAGTGCAGCAGTTGGACTCAAGGTTCAACGAGCTGGTTCTCTTTTTCGGATGTCTAGACCCAATTTTCGTGCCATATTTTTGCACAGGCTGTCCCTCAAACGACTGTCAATCATCCAGTAGTCAGCTGATGGCCCCAATTTAGCGGTCTTTACGAGCTCCGCGCTAATCTAGTCGGAGATCCTAATCTGACAGTCGTAACATGCTCTCAATTCCCCTTTTTTTTTTGGCCAGACGCTGCTCGGCAGCATGACTAATGCGTGGAAAGGCGCCAGGTGAATTGTGGTCTCGCCTGCCTCCCCCAAAAACTCCACCTGCTCCCCGCCCGGCAACAGAAAGTGGAATATATCGCCAACTCTTATCTGGTCGAGGGCCTCAGCTTATTTCACAATTACTTTCAACTGGCTGGCCCAAAGGGGCAAATTTCGCAGTGCATACGCACTTTTCTTATAAATTCTGCGCAATTTGATTTAATCCTAACCAGGAGATTGGAAGATCTATTTTGGTTCTTATTTGATGAGCTATTTTTGGTAGGAATAATAAGATAACAGTTGGATAAAAATGGGTCAGATGAACTCTATTTTTGGTACCCATTTGTTTACCAAGATTAGCTAAAAATAAAAAGACATTAAAGGGTTTTTTCCATTTAAATATTCACAATTTTATTCATTTTTTTTGCGGTCTTAAACTAAGTCTTAAATTACTAGAATCAGGGCAGTATATGTATAGTTATTTGTTCAACTTAAATGCCTAGTGAGATTATCTAGAGAATCTACATTTTTCTTGGGATTTTTTCTTGAATCTTTTGTGTTTTTTTTTGGTATATTTTACTTTTCGATATCTTCACATTCGAGCGCTAATTTCTGATCATCTTTCCGATGATCATGATCCTACATGATCTGGGTGGCCGAGCTGATGACCTGGTTGATCCAGTCCGTAAAGGCGGAGACGCGGACAAAGACCGAGGGGGCGTTCTTCTGGCCGCAGGGCATCTTGCCCCACGACACGATGCCGATGACGATGTTGGCCTGTTCGAAGTGCTCCTCGCAGCACTGTTGGATCAGCGGACCACCGGAATCAGCGGTGCAGATGCTAACGCCTCCGGTGAGAGGACCAGTGCAGAGATTGGTCTCATGCAGCTGAAGACCCGAGCGGGCGAGGATCTGTTCGCAGAGCTCCATGTCGAGGATGGGCATGTTGGCCTCCTGCAGGCGATGCGGATAATTGGGCACTGCCGTCATCGAGACATTTCCCCAGCCATAGAGAGTGCCATAGCCCTCGGGTTGGGCATCCTGCTCCGGCAACGTGGCTGGCTGGACGTAGGCGTCAAAGACCAGCGGCTGTTTGGTGTAGATCAAAGCGATGTCATAGGGATTCACTCCGCCGAGATAAAGCTCATGCCGCACATAGTAGTCGATGTGTCGCATCTGAATGTTGCTCGCCTCGCCCTTCTGGTCGTGAATGTCATGACTGCCCGCCACAATCACTGAGTTCTCCACAGCCTGAGGAGAACTGAGGCAGTGCGCCGCTGTTAAAATCCAATGCTCGTTGATCACGGTGCCGGCACAGTAGTGGACCAGTCCCTGATCCGGTGTCATCATCTGGATGCTGACCACATATGGCGCCGAATGGGGCGTAGCCTCCCGCTTGGCCAGGAACTTTTTGCTCCAGTGCGTTTGTCGCGGTGCTTCCAGAGTGCTAATCCGGTTCTCCAGCAGCCCGTAGGCCGCCAAATTCATGGCCATTGTGTGGGCTGAACCGACTCCTCCGCCACCGCCACATTTGCGAACTGTGGGCAGCTGGAGGGAGCCGGAGGAGGCCGAGCTTAGAACCACCATAATGCTGGCTATGGTGGACAGCAGGACCGAGTAGATGCATCGGTAGGATAAAAGCATGATGTCCTCGCTCTGGTTGCACGCGCCGCACGAATTCGTCGAGTAGTAGTAAGTAATTTTGACGGTTATATGGGTTTTGGTTGGGTTCTTAGGGGGCGCGACTCTTGTTTTCTTAGCTTTTCGCCCTTGTTCTGGCGTATCGATAGCACTTCACTTGTATTCCGTTTCGCTTTGGCATGGAATTCACTTTATTCGGCCCGTTTCTGCCGTGTTACTTTCGTTGTTTTAGGTGGTGTCTCTTGCTAGCTGCCGATTTTAGATTTGCCCGACGTCGGCGAGTGGGGGCTGTATTTATAGGGAGAGGCTCTCTTTTCGCCAAATTGTAATTGGTGGCTTCTTATCGCCAAGAAAGCGGGAGCGGGTTGCCCCCCATATAAGGAGCTTCGCTATCAGTGACGAGTCGAGATAACTAGAATTTTTGGCGAGTGCCAATCGCATGTCTAAGGTTGTGCGATTGGGCCTGTCTTGCTCAGGAATGCCCTACGTGGAGAAGATCTCGCTCTGATCGGTCCTAATCTACACTAGCTTTTATTATGTAAGACAAGTGCGTACTTGTTTCGCAGATAAGAAGAGCGTGGGAAGAGAGTTCTAATGGGTTCATTGCTATTTCTGTGATTGAGAAATTGGTAAACTTTAAATTTGTTAGTTTCAGGATTATTTATTTTATTTTTCAGTGTAGGAATGTTTATGACACATAGAATTATGCCGAATAAACCCATTGGTTAAACCCATTATTGTTGATTAAACCTAAGGAGAAGTATATAAATTAAAAACTCATAATGAATTGAATTAAAAGTATAGGTAATATATTTTAAGTGCGTTTTTATCCTCTTACAGAAGTCGAAATCAAAGCTAATTCTGGATTATTTAGCTTTTTCTTCCAGTGCTTATGACACAAAGAATTAGGCCGAATAAACCCACTGGTTAAACCTATTATAGTTGATTAAATCTAAGGAGAAGTTTATAAATTGAAAACTCATAATGAATTGAATTAAGTGTATAGATGATATATTTTAAATGCGTATTTATCCTCTTACTGAAGAAGACTACTTTTGAATCAAAGCGTGCAAACCAGTTCAAACTGGCCGATATCAATACGAAGTTCAATGATGTCTATGGCTATATATAGTACATATATCGAGACCTGCTGCCTCGAATGCCAAACCTCTGACGGATCACACACACTCGTTAACTTACTCATTGGCGCACTGCCGTGCAATCGATCGGGGAATCGGGTGCTTCCCGGCCAGGTGGATTCTTGGATGGCGAATGGGGAATGAGCCCATCCGAAGGGGTTCGCTTATCTGCTGGCCATCGTAATAGGGCAATTTCGATTCAATTTAGTCACGGTTCTTTGCGTTTTGGCATGATCTATCGTGTTGGGTTTCCGCGACAGGGAATGCTTTTGTGGAATAGATAGCAGACGCCATCGATTTGGTTTTAATGTATGATAAATACTCCAAAGTTAGCGGAGGGCCCAAAACCGAGGGGTTGTTTATTTTCAGCGCATACGTAATGCGGGAATTATTCGACAGTCGTTTAATTAATTTTAAAGCCACCTATGGTATCGTCGCTTATCGATCTTTACGTGGTCAACGGATTCTATATATGTGTCATCTAGGCATTGCTTTGGAATTTATATTGCACCCACTCGTTCGTAGTGCTACCGGCAGGAAGTTGTTTTGGGAAGTGAATTTATGAATGGGCTTTGAATCACTCGACGAGTGCAACTTGTCCTAGGTCATTGACTCTGCTTTCCCCGTTGAGTAAGACACTATTTACAGGGGGGTTTTCTCATTTATACCTTAGCTAACATGCATTTTCCACTTCCTATATATGCAAGTACTTCTTGACGTCACAATGGGCGTATCTCGATCTGTTGTCAGGCCTCCTGGGTTATTCGCATCTGATTAGGGAAATGTTTGCTCAAGAGGCTTGTTATTTATATTACGGAAAGACTTTCGTTATCACAGCCAGTACCAAAATTCGGTTAGCTCGTGATTGAAAGTGTCTTATCTCATCGGTAGCAAAATTCTCCGTCTTTCGTGGAATTAGCCAGTCTTTTGCGTTCCATTCAGGTCGCCCATTTATCTTCTCTATGTGACGCTCTACTCGTTTTGGACGTTTTTGTGGTCAGCTAGCCGTCTTAATCTCCGTTTATCAATGTTTGATGTTGTACTTTCAAGTACTGATTGCGATCCACGAGGAGTTAATTGCTCACGTGACCTTTCTACCCTCTCCTTGCGAAATTGTCCCAGGAATGTCTATTGATTATTCCTCTCACATATATTTTTTATAAAATGGAACCTTCTTGTTTGCCACACTTTTTCCAAGGTCACTTAGCATGGCGATTCGTTTCGCTCTTTTGTGAAATTCCCCGGAACGGAGTCGTTCTACGCCATAGATCAGTTATCTTTTATCTATTACACGGAATACAAGCTGCAAAATTGAGTTTGCTTTTTCCCCCGCAAAGAATTACTCATTGCGCAAAGAAAGAAAGATTCGTGGCCTTTCCCAAAAAGCGTAGATAACATTGTTTTTTATTATCTCTTTTGCAGGTTTGGATTAACCAGGGCGACATCATATTGGTGGGATTGCGTGACTACCAGGACTCGAAGGCTGATGTGATCCTCAAGTACACGCCCGATGAGGCCAGGAATTTGAAGACCTACGGCGAGTTCCCCGAGTCGGTGCGCATCAACGAGACGGTCACGTTCGTGGAGGATGGCTTCGACGAGGACATCGAGTTCGGCGATGAGATCAGCTCGGAGGACGACGCCGACTCCGTGGACAACATCTGATTAACAAGAAACAAAGCGGCTGGAACTTCCGCCTCGGCAGCACCAGCAGCATCAGCAGAGTCAGTTCGAGAATAGTAGGGAATTTAACCAATTGTAAAAAGCAGAATGCCGAAAGCAAGTAGCTCCTGTTCGAGATCCAAGCAACAAGCATCCAATCCAATCCAACATCCACAGAGCGGCGCAACAGAAACCAAAACTATAGTATCAGTTCAATTTTAGCCACTTTAATGTTCAATATTCTTTTAAATTTCTTCAGCTTGAATTACCAAGTGGGTTCCAAAATTCAAATGGTTCGACTTATGGCCGCCTTAAACAACAAATTATATAAAACAAATAGTAGAACTACTGTTACACTGTGCAAGTAATGCAACTTTGCGAAACAAAAACTAATATTATTTGAATTAAAAAACGAAAGAAAAAACAAAGAAAAACAAACGGATATTAGTTATTATTTACCCAACAAATCTATCAAACTATATGAAAAATACAACTCATACACATAAAATAGGAGTATAATGTTTAAGGCAAAGGGTAAGAATAAAATAATAAACAATAGGCAGTGAGCGATTGTAGCTAGCGAGTAAGCAAAATCAAATCCATGAGTTTTTTGCCAGACATTTCTGTGCTCCATCCCCAAAAAGTGTTCCTTCTCAGCATTTCTCGTCTCATCGTCTTGTTTTTATTATTATTATTAAACACCTGTGTTATATTTTGATGATTTTTCATAGCATTTCCAAACGCCCCCTTTTGTTTTTTGCTGTCCATGCATTCAGTTCTCTCTACTTAGTTGTAATCTAATTCGAACCCAATGATGGATGTGTAAAAAGTAAATAATATATTGATTTTTGTATGAGTTGAACTCCAATAAATGGCGTTGATTAACCCGAATGCAAAACAGCAGATGCGCCCGAAGGTCTTTTCACTTTGGTAGTTACAAATTCAAGCTACAGTTTATTATAAATGCAGAAACTCGTTACATTTTGGCACCCCTTACAGCTCCTCGTGGCGGGATGGGAACTTCTTGAGGATGGCATGGTAGAGATTGTAGAAAGCGTACACTGAAACCGTGATGATGACCAGCAGAGCTCCGCCAAAGGCGATGCTCAGAAAGTTGCCGTCTATAATGCCCGCCGATCGATGGCGCTTGGTGGAGAATATCTCCTCCGTGGTCGCCGGGTTGTTCTGCTGCTGGGACGTCCGCTCGGCCATCAGCCGCTTCATGGTGCTCAGCCGCTCCCGCAGAACCTCCACGGATTCTGTGTCCAGGTCCGAGGTTCCTTAGATTAGTGTTTCATCAGTGAAAATTAGCGAAATAATTATAGTTTCCCATACCTGTCGACTGGGAGGCGGAAGCACTGGGATAAGAAGACATTTTCCAGATTTTCTTTATCAACTATTTGTGCAAAAACCGCAGCTAATCAGAGTTATCTGAATCTTTTTTGGGGTGGGTTTGTTAACATTTCAAGTTTCAAATGCGCAGGCGCCCAATATATATTGCACAGCGTTGCCAGACACTCGCGTTGCCAACTATTATAGTAGGGAGACTATCGATAACGATAGCGCGGAATTAAAATCGTTTTACTTCCATCTCTCAACACGTGAAACGCGTTTTGAATTTACCTTTTGTGTTTTGAATGCTGCCATGGGTTTAACTAAACAATATTTGGCCTACAGGGCTATAGACAGCTTCAATATCATCACCTCCGGACGTGCCAATGTGAACTTTGCCATTGTGGACAAGACGGAGGGCCGATATGTGGCTGCTCCCGCGGCTGAGAACGTGATCGTGTGGGATTTGAGGTGGGTTTACATGGTTATTTTATATCCTCCAAACTAAAAGTAACATTTACTTGTAGAATGGGCGACCGCAAGCTGACCCTGCGTCGGGAAAAGTTCGAGGTCACCTGTTTGAGGGTCTCACCGGATCACCTGCACATCGCCGTCGGCTACGCGGATGGCATGGTCCAGATCTTCGATCTCAGCTCGGACAGGTACTACGATCCCATTTGCACGCTGGCGCTGCACAAGAACGCGGTTAGCATCCTGCGCTACGATCTGCAGGGCATGCGCCTGGTCAGCGGCGGTCTGGACACCGAACTGGTCGTCGTCGATGTGGTGGAGCAGGCGGGAAGAGCTCGGCTGAGCGGTCACAATGCCGCCATCACGGATGCCCACTTCCTGCAGCGGCTGGTGGATGAGAGTATCGTGGTTAGCTGCTCGAAGGACACGCAGATCAAGTTCTGGAACCTGGAGACGCAGTTCTGCTTCAAGACCATCGTGGATAATCGCACAGAGGTCTGGGCATTGGCCTTTATTGGCGATCTAATGGTTGCGGGAGCCGGCGAAAGTGGCATGAATGTTTACCGGCTGAGGAAGCAGGATGGCGCAATTACAGGCACCCTGGAGTCGGCTGTCGAGGGTCTTTCCATTGAGGACGAGGACACCATAAGTCCCATCAGCGTGAGCAACTGCGGCGTAATTCAGCGAGCGGGAAAGGGTCGCACCGTCAACCTGGTGACCGATCCCAGTGAACGGGTGCTCAGCTGCCACGGAACCAACGATCTGATTGAGAACTTTTACATCTGCACGGCGGAGGAGGTGAAGAAGCGTCTGGCCAAGCGCCTGAAGAAGGAGAAGAAGGAGGAGGGCTCCGAAGAGGCCAAGTCGCTGAGCGATGAGATCAAGCGACTGGAAAGCATCCGAGCCAAGCAGAAGATCAAGTCGATTGATGTGGTATTGGGCCAGAATCAGGAGCTGCGCGTCCTGGTCAGTTTGGCCAACAACAGTCTGTCTTTGTACTCGCTGGAGGCGTCTATAAAGTCCCGCAAGGCCGCCGATCCCAGCGTGAAACTGCTAAGGTCGCTCACCCGTTTGGGTCACCAGTCCGAAGTGCGTTCCGTGTGCTTCAGCAATGATTCTTTGGCCGTGGGCTCGGGCGCCGGGGAATCCTTCAAGTTCTGGGATCGCGATGCCATGCAGTGCCTGCGAACGGTGCCCACGGATTACATTCTCTGCTCAAAGTTTGTGCCCGGCGATCACTACGTCCTGCTGGGCATGAAGAGCGGCAAGTTGCTTATTGTAGACGTGGCTGCGGCGGATATTGTGGAGGAGATTCCCGCCCACGAAAGCGAACTGTGGTCCATTGCCCTGCTGCCCGATCAGAAGGGCTGCATCACTGGCAGCGGCGACAGCACGCTGAAGATCTGGACATTCGAGCTGATCGATGCCGGCGAGGGAGCCGCGCAGACAAAGGTGCTCTCCCTGCTGCACAAAAACACTTTGAAGCTGGAGGAGACCGTTCTTTGCGTAGCTGTCAGTCCGGACATGAAATACCTGGCTGTGGGATTGCTGGACGCCACCGTAAAAATCTTCTTCCTGGACACATTCAAGTTTTACCTCTCCCTGTACGGTCACAAGTTGCCGGTGCTCTGCCTGGACATCTCCTACGACTCCAATCTTATTGTAACTGGGTCAGCAGATCGAAATGTGAAGGTGTGGGGCCTGAACTTTGGCGACTGCCATCGCTCCATCTTTGCCCACGACGATTCGGTGATGAGTGTGCAGTTTATACCCAGGACACACATGTTCTTCACCTGCGGCAAGGATGGCAAGGTTAAGCAGTGGGACGGGGATAACTTTGAGAAGATTATTACCTTGCCTGGCCACATAGGCGAAGCCTACTGCCTGGCTGTCTCTCCAAATGGAAGGTATTTGGTTACCTGTGGCTCTGATAGAACTCTGCGGATGTACGAGCGAACGGAGGAGACGATTGTGCTGAAGGATGTGCAGGAGGAGGAGCGCGAGCAACTGGAGAACGAGCAACTGGCCACGGGGGAGGACAACACAGTTCCCCTGCTCCCCGGACTCAAGATGCCCTCGCGCAAGACAGTGGGCTCTGAGCAGTCTGCCGAATCCATCCTCGAATGCCTGGAAATATCGAAGCAATTCGAACTCGAGGCGGAGGACAAGCCGGAGTTGCATCCGCTGATGCAGGCGCTGCAGGTTAAGAATCCCCAGGATTTCCTCGTCAGCACCTTTATGCGGATACGTGCCTCCGATTTGGAAGAGGCTTTGCTTCTGCTGCCCTTCTCCACCGTCTGCGAAGTTCTCGAGCGCCTGCCCACTCTGCTCACCCAGCGACCCGATCAACTGGAGCTTCTGTGTCGCGTCACCATCTTCCTGTTCAAGGTGCACATGAAGCCCATTTCGGCGGCCAAGAATATGAAGCCGCTGCTCGTCAGGCTCCTCGCGATGCTCAAAAGGGATGTTGGCCAACTGCGGGATGTCTTGGGTTGGAATCTGCATGGGTTGGCACTGCTGCAAACGGAAGTGGAGCAGCGGGATGGCGTCCAGCTCTTCCGGGAGGCCACACAGGCGCGCAAGAAGCGGGAGAAAAAGCGCAGGGAGGCCAGCAAAAGGAGGCTGCAGATTCAAATGGTTTGACATGTCAATCCCCTAGACTTAGTTGTACAAATCCAATTAAACAATGCTAGTTATTCTACTCCTCTCTGGATTTCTATATATTTCTCTGAACATACTTTAATTTGACGTGCAATTTTCTGTATATATGAGATGGACAAAATGGATAAAAGCGATGGCGGAGCAAAGGAAACTGATGTAGAGGACAAATCCTTTAAAACAAAGACAGAAACGCTTCTTTTTGGAGACCTGGACTGCATGATTTTGGCTTAACATAAAACATAGAACTCGGAATGAGCTTGGGAGCAGGGCAAAATGTATTTCCAGCTCAACAAATGCCGGCCTTTGGGAAGGTGCCATCTCCTTGACCAGTTCCACAGGGACCTGTAGGATTTTAATGATTATTTTTTAGATATGTAAAGGAATCAATCAGCATTTAACCCACCACCACAACGCTGGAAGGCACCGGGTGGACCGTAGCTCAGTTTCTGGATAGTACACTTCTCAATTGGACCCGTGGGACGACAGTAGGATGTGTACCTGGCCCATGGCAGCGGCTCCTTGGGCGGCACACAATTCGGCAAATAGCTGAGCTTGTATGTGGTGCACTTCTCCATGGGACCCTCATTCCTGCAGAATCCCTGACGCGGACGAACGGACTCGGCCCGCGGGAAGCAGGTGACGTCCACCGGCATGTACGACAGCTTGTTCACCGTGCAGCGCTCCATGGCTCCGGTCGGTCGGCAGAAGGCGGTGCGCGGCATGATGGGTGCCCGCCTTACGTGCGGCTTGGCCACAAAGTCGTGCTTCTGCGTGGTCATCGCGTACATGGGCCCATCGAATCGCAGTCCATTCTCCATCGGCCGAATGGGCGGAGTGCGCTCCGTGCAGTTCGGCTGATAGGAGAGCTAGGAAAGGATTTGAAAAGTTCGTTAATTAATTAATTAATTAAGTAATAGGGTATATAGCGTTTCCGACCCCATAAAGTATGTCTGTCTGTCCGTCTGTATTAACGCTGAGATCTTGGAAACTACAAAAGCTAGAAGGTTGGGATTACCCACACATATTCTTTGGCTTCCTACGCAGCGCAAGTTTGTTTCAGCCGAGCGCCACGCCCCCTCAAACGCCCACAAACGATTTTAAAGTGTCTGGCGGCCACATCTTTTAAGATTTTAAAAATGTATAAATGCAATTTTATAGTGTTTACAAATACTTATCAAAATGTAGAAGACATTTTTCAAATCGAACCAGTCATTAAAAAGTTATGCGCAATCAAAATTTTAAATACCCATCTCCCTCGCACTAAGATAGATAGTAGGGACACCCACCCGACTATAGCGTTTTCTGTTCTTAAATCTATTTATATCTTTGTATACCTTACCTTTTGAATGGTGCACCTCTCGAGCGGTCCGCTGGGCCTGCAGAAGGTGTCCCTGGGCAGGACAGGAGCCGGCTTGGTCCGCGAGGCATCCACTGGCATGTAGCTGAGCTTGTAGACCGTGCTCCCGGATCCAGAGTCATTGCCGCAAAAGCGCAAAGTGGTTAGAGGCGTCACCGGAGCCGTGCGCGCCTCATTGCAGTTGGGCATGTAGCTCAGGTTGTAGGTGGTGCAAACGTTGGAGTAGCGCGGCGGCACACAGCGGATCTTGTCGGCCCAGGGCGTGGGCTCCTTGGCCGGCAGGCAGACGGGCATGTAGGATAGCTTCTGGATGGTGCAGCGCTCCATGGGCCCCGCTGGCTTACAGTAGTGCGATCCCTGGATCATGGCCTTCGGTGGCGGATTCTGGCACACATCGATGGGCATGTAGCTCAGCTTCTGGATGGTGCAGCGCTCCATCGGCGCATTCGACGTGCAGATGGCCACCCGAGGGACTATGGGATCCCGCTTCACGATGCCCTTGGGCACATAGTCGTGCTTCTGCGAGGTCATCGCATAGATGGGTCCCTCGAAGCGCAGCCCGCTCTCCATGGGCACAATGGGCGGCGTCCGCTTCACCGGACAGGGCGGCATGTAGGACAGCTTCTGGATGGTGCACTTTTCCAGCGGCGCCGTGGAGGCTCGGATTTGGGAGCACGGCATCACGGGACGTGCGCGCAAATTGTCACCACAATTGGCGTAGAACGATCGCCGGTAAATGGTGTCCGTGTCCAGCGGCGCCGTGGAGCGCATGAAGTGCGACTTGGGCAGAATGGGCATGGTGCGCGGCGGCTGCTGGTAGCAGCATCCTGCGTAATCGCCGCAATCGCAGGGAGGACACGTCGAACCCGGCGGACATGGCGAGAAGTCCGTGGGAGCCTGGCAAGGATCGCAGGCACTGGGACAGCAATCTCCGGACATGGTAGTGAATTGAATGAGAACGGTGTTGTGTGAATACCACAAAAAAACTGGGCAATTGTCAAAGGAAATAATTTTGTTTGCTAGGAGTTGGAAGATTTGGACGAGTAGACTTCGAAACACTTCCAAAACGACTAAATAATAATTTTGCTCAGACACTGGACGACGAAAGGTTTCCCGATGTGTTCTATATAGGCAGAGATGGTAGAATGGAGCCGGCTTTGAAAACTATATAGCTCAGATTGAAATGTAACACCCAGGCAACTGAATTTTTGTGATCATCTTCATTTATTTCAGCTTACATTCTTCTTTGCTAGGATATCCTGATATTTTATAAATGATAAAGGTAGCACTCTTCAAGGGACAGATAAATAATCTTCATCGAACTCCCCTAAACACTTTCAAGAAATATAATTACATACATAAACAAACGGTTTGCATTATAAATTGGAATCTTTAAATGTGCCTAACTAAGCGTCTAACTAAACTCGATTTAAATAATTAAACATTAATAGAAATCACGTACATTTTAACTTATTTACAATATTTTTGCCAGCTCTATTGGGAATATTTTAGGGATCAGCAAAATAATTTCTAATACATAAATATTGAATTATTCGGTAAACAAAACAATTCCATTCGCAGGTTAAACATAAAATCAATAAATCAATCCCGTGTATAAGCGGGGAAAAGAAGGGCATGTTTCTAGTGCTGCCATTAAAACATTTTTCGATTCTCTTACAAATTAGTTGTCTTAGACTATATGCTCGTTTCTAAATATTTTTTTTTCGCAAAGAATATAGTAAAAATACAATTATATATGTGTGTATATGATTCAGTTCGCTTGACGTCTTCTCGCTTATCGACAATGTTAGGGTATAGGGTATACAATATATATAGATCGCTAAAGATTCCGGGCTCTGTACGGTTACAACGTGGGCAGGTTGGCAGGCACCTGGTCCAGAAAATTGGCCGGAAACTGGCCCTGACGACCCGCCACCTCACCGTACAGCCAGTCCTCGTTTATCCTATAAAGCACTGTGACCATTTCGTTTTCCTAAAAAAAGATTTATAATTTAGTTTCCTTTAAAGGTTCTACTTTCAAGGTGAAATTACCTGCAAGGTCAGATCTCCCTCGACTCCGCCGGGGAAGTGATACAAACAGAGCGCTGTGGTTGAGGATGCTGCAGCAGCAGCAGCTGGAGCGGCAGCAGCACCACCACCAGTGGCCCCCAATGGCACCTTGATATCCACGTAGTTGACCGGAAAGATGCCCTCGCATCCGGAACGCGTGCGTCCGCGCATCCACTCTGGAGTAGGGTGGTCCAGCAGATAGATCTTCTCGTTTTCCTACAGAAAAAAATAAAAAATAATAAGCATTAAAACCAAACTTGCAATCTCGGAGAAACAATTTCTTGTATATGCCATACAAATGTAAGATTTAATGTTCAAAGTGACTAGCGCAGTAAGAAATAAGTTTCACGCTTATTGTGCTGGGATAGTAAAACAATAAAACTAAATTAAATAAATTAAAAATAAAAAAATTATACCAAATTAGTATTACTAATTCAGTAATTCTGTGATTACAAAATCTTACCCTAAAACTCAGATCCCCCTCCTCAACGCCATCGAAATCATAGAGCGCAATGGCATAGGGGATGACCTCCTCCTCCATGTATCCCTGGCATCCGTTGCTCAGCGCCAGAGCGTCCACCTTGCCGCTGATCACATCTAACACTGAGATGCCACTAGAAGAAGGCGGCGGTGGCGGTGGTCCCTTGGGCATCGGCGGCGATGGTGGCGTCTCTGATCCCTCATATCCCTCTGGTATGATATATCCCGGCGGTATGCCCCCAATGAATGGTGGCGGCTTAGGAGCCTTTGGCTTTTGCGATATCTTGGGCTTGATAATAGTGGGCATCGTAAGCGACTGCGTGGGCGGCAGCAGACTCTTCCCATTGCACAGCGGATTGTCCGAGGAGCGCGGAGCCTGCAAGTTCTGGTAGGTCTGACGAACTGGGGCCGAGCCAAAGCTATCGACTACCGAGCCATGTCCCATGCTATCCACCGCCTCCCAGGGATCCAAAGGACTCTGCGTAGATGGCCGCGATCGATGGTAATCGTCCTCGAATCCGCTCTCCGGCTGAGAAACGCTGCCGTTGTTCGGCGAACTGAAGTTGCTGTCCGAACTGAAGCTGTCCACGCTGACGCAGTCGCTGTTGGACTTTTGGGTAAACGTGGGCGACGAGGGCGGCGAATCGAAGCTGATGAGCTGGCCCTCGCTGTGGTTGCTGCTCGACGAGGTGGTGGTGGTGTAAGCGGTGGTGGTTGTGCTGGCCGAGTTCCAAGCGGCATTCCAGTCCACATTGGTAAAGGCCGCCGAGGAGGAGTTGCTGTTGCTGCTGCTATTTATTGGCGTCCCGGCATTGCCGCTGCTCAGACCGTAGACGCGATTCTCCGCTGCGGCCTTGGTAGCAGCGGCCGATGCCGTGGACGTGGACTTTTTGCGGTGAAAGATGTTCGAGATGAGTCTGCTACCGCCGGCGGCCGCCGATGCCGTCGAGGAGGAGGCGAATGATGATGACTTGGGCATGTTCTGACCATTGACCAGCACCTTGGGCGGCGGCGGTCGCGGCGGCGGCATCTTCTTGAAGCGATCGTTCCCGTTGCCGTTGCCATTGCTGCCACCAAATGGATCGTCGTCCCAGTTGGTGGCCGGCGTGTAGCGTGCCTGCGGAAACTTCCTGGTGATGCTCGATCCTCCTGTCGGCTCATCGAAGAGGCTGTTGTTATTTGTGTTATTGTTTGAGGCGTTGATCCGCTTGTGCTGTGAGTTCTGCGACTGCAGCGGACCCTTGGGCGGTGGCGGCAGCTTAATGGTCAGCTTCTGGAGTCCTCCGCCCGCCGCCTGCTGCTGCTGCAAGTGCTGCTGCTGCAGCTGAAGACGCAGCTGCTCCAGGGTGGCATTCGCTCCAGCCGCCGCGCACTGGCCCCGTGATCCTGGCGGAGCTGGCGCCGGTCTCGATGGAATGGTCATGCTTTCTGCAATTGGAGAAGCCAAAAAAAAGGGATTCAATTAGTTTTGTGAACAGACTAATGGCGTTCTCTAATTAAACATGCAAAATCAGTTTTCTTATCGCAAATATTTGAGCCCGTTGATAAGCGACACTCACGAAGAGGAAACTGTTTTTTTGGGGGCTGCTCCGAAACTCGCTTGACTCGCACCCCACCAATTAAGTGATCTAACTATCTGTGGCACTTTTCTACTCGAAATTTCCAAAACGAAAACAAATGCGAATTTTTAACGAGTTTGCTGAGTTTTTTGTGAGTAGAACAATCTGATACAACTGGAAAATGTTGAAGAGAGCAATACCTGACATGTGTCAAGATAAAAGTCAAATGTTCTCTATACCAAATGAGAAATACTTATGCCTCAAGGTATAGCTTTCTTGAAAACAAAATAAAAACCTCTAGGATGAGCAAGTAACTGATTTGCAAATCAGATTAGAAAAGTAATTTCTGAGAATCATATATTACAAGTTATTTGTTTTCTTTTCTTTACAAATTTACTTTTACTTTATTAGAGGGTCACCTGCCTTCTTTAAAAACAAAACAAAAAGTTATATTTACAATTCAAGATAAGATTCAAGTTGAAGCACTTAATACAGGTGGAATTTCAGTCAAGACTTTTAGATAAAAGAGCCTCAGACACAGACCGATTAAGTTTATTGATAACCAAAGTGGATTTTATGCTGTTTAGTGGGAATACAATGACTCACATTTAGTAATTGCCTAGAAAGCCTTTAATACAGCGATATCATCACTGATTTTCAGCTATCAACACCTGGCCAAGTCGTTCATAATTAAAACGCGAAAACAATCAATCGACAGATCCGAAATGCTCTTTTATTGTTTTGTATTTACGATGCAATTGGCGCGAACCAAAAACAAATTGAGAACTTGTTATTTTTGTGGGGGTTTCTCGGGCATTTACGTCATCTTGGCCGCCCACAAATGTTCTTTTGCTAATTACCGCGGTCTTTTCTATTTCAATTTCAACGTGAATAAAAGTGAAAAATTTGATATCACTGACAGACAAATGAAAACGTTTTCAAGTTAACGCCGGAACCAGAGAATAAGTAGGTGGGTGGATTGTGGACTGCCCCAGTTCTCTGGATAGTCGGTGCCCGGCACATGGTGGAACCGATTTAAAAGCGCAGCTGAAATGGACTGCATGTGCCATAAGTGGGATATGCCAGACCAACGGAAAACATTCACAATACCCAGTGATAAGAGAAAAGCCAATGTCGCCCCTCTCGCGAGAATAACAAAACGGTTTGCGTAAACAAAACAATATTATAAACAATTTTAAGTCGCAAAATAATTTTCAAGCAGCCAGGGGGGCGGCATAGAATGGTTTTGATAAAAGTTTTTTTTATATGTACACTCTACGTTTATATACATTTTTCTGCGTTTTGGCAGATGTGGAAGTGCTTGAATATTTTTGCGTCATACGGAGAATTCCCCGAAGCATATTTCGCGGAAAAATATTGACTATCTGAATATGAGGGGAAGTTGGCGCCAGTAAACAGAAATCCGCCTCTCGGAGAGGGGAGTATTTTTAGTGGTAAAAATGTTGTAGCATATGGCAGGAAAGTCCAACACAAATATTTGTAATTTCTTCCGGTTATTTGAAGTGTTTTCCTTTGAGAATTGTTGGGGACTTCAAAGGAGCTTGCTGAAATACACTTCTACAAGTTAAAAAGCCAAAAACAATCGAATGAGAAAAGTTTCCATACAATTTAGTTTGAATTGATCAATTTAGCGATGGTATTTTAAATTCAAAATATATAAACAATCATCCAAAGTCATTGATCGATCAAAGAAACTGAACAATATACCATTTAACGGATCGTCTGTATATTTGGATATGCACAAAAGAACAGAGATCTCTCATAGATGTTATGCCAACTTTCAAAACTTTCGGCTGGAGCCATAAACAAACTATCATAACAAATAATCGTTGCATGCGAAATTCATGCAAATTTATCATGTCTTCTATAGGATAGACCTCCCGTGCAAATAATATAAACACAAAAAGGCGAGCGAACGAAAAGCTAAATTTGTAAAAGTGTTTGACTGTGGATTTTCCCCTTATTGGGTAACTGACTGCCCAAACGACCAAACGACCGACTGACTGACTGTGACGCTAATCGCAGACACGTTCTCACCGGTTAAAGCCACAACGGACCAGAACAAACCTTGCAGTTGCAATCTAATTAAAATCACCTTCAGAAGGTGATGATGGGAGACAGAGAAAGGGAGTCCCCACTGTCCATCCACCCACTTTGCTGGGGTTCTGAATGCCAATTTAATTCCGCTATTCCTATTCACATTGTATGGGCATGTGCAGAAAGTCAAGAGCAAGAGCAGCCTATTCCGAGTGATATATTGTATATCACAATTGCAAACACGCTTTCCTTTTCCTATTTTCCCCCCGCGGCGACAGTAAAATTGATCAAATAATCACCCTAATCGTTGGCGGGGGGAAATCTAAATAATGAGTAAATCGTACGTTTATGAGGTGCTCCATATTCACATATTTACACTTATTATCAGGGCAATTAAACAGAATTAAACTAACATTAAGAGTTAATGAGTTAAATAAACTATGCCAAAAGAGGAGTATTACTTAATATGGTCGATAAGGTGGGCGTTAAAAGCAACCTGTTTCGAATTAACTAAATAAAGATGGTTGTTTTTAAGGAACTGATATTCGCTTTTCTTCTAAAGTCATTAATTCTTCGATTTCTAAAATGTTCAATCTAAAATCATTCTTCAATCATCGAAAACTGGAAATCAGTTAAGGCCTTCGGAAGTGTGTAATAAAAGCTACCTGTATTTCTTCGGTTCAAGCTCAATGCCAGTCAATACTAACCGGTTTTTAGACTGAGACTCCCTTTACAACTTGAGATGAGAATTAAGACTGTGAAAATGTTTGCTAATTGCTACTCGGTTTCTTTGGGTTTTGAGTATTTACAGACATGGGATTTTCATGTAACTGATTTCCAGTGAAACTGTTAGAGGTAGAGAGCTCTTGTATGATCCGATGTTTTACTTCGGTCCGTTGACAGAATGTGTGGGCACTTTGGGTTTGGCTTCGGGTTCGGGGCAACTTTTACTTTGGTATAGACCATCCTCAATCCTCAAGCTTGACCGCACGTTCCGAGCAAACTCTCACGAACAATGGAAGTCGAACGAAAGCAGAACAAAAGAAAGTGACAAACACATCGATCTCCGTATTTATATGTGGGATATGTACAATACATGGTACATCTGTATGTGGGGTGGAGCTGCTGCTTTTAAGTCGAGTGAGAGCGATATTAATAATCGAATGGAGTGAAATGAAATGTGTTCGCTTGGATTGCATTTGAAAGAGCAATTTCCATGCTCCGCTTTTAACAGATTGTGCTTTGGTTCACTTCGCCACCCCACCCCACCATTTCTCTTTCGACGATCTCCTTTCTTTGGCATCGACCACTCGCAATTGTTGATACTTCGACATTTTTAGTGCACCACACCTACAAGGCGGGCGTGACGACCTTGAATGCTTTTATTTTCATTGGCCAAATAAAAACTAGACCACAATCATATCACAAAGGACTACAAATGCTCCATTAGTCTCAGACTTGCGCCACTTGAGGCACTTGAGGCATTAACCTCTCTATTGGCTACACAGGAAAAATTATATCATTTTAAAACCTACATTAAAGTTAAAGAAAGTTTTTCTACTCGTCACGTTTTTAAGTCACATTCACATTGATAAAATCGCTGGCAAAAACACCAGTTTTAGTTTGATGTATTTCAATGTTAAAATTCAAATTCATTTAAATGTCAAATTTTGTAGTTTTTATGTATTTATTTAGTGACGTTTTGTAAAAATATTTGCTTTTTGAGTCAACGTGGAATACTTTTCTTTTAAGAAATAAGTGGTGTTCGTTTCAGAATATAATCTTTAAAAACTTTGGAGTAATGAGTAATGAAATTTTACTTTCCGGACGAATTTTATTCAGTTTACTTTAGTAGAAAGAAATTAATGTGGATAAAAATATGTTGTTCTGACTTTGCTACTAAAATCAGTTTCAATTAAAATTCGTTTTCATTATTTAGCATGCTGAAACAAATGTATATTTATATTGCAAATTATGGAATTCATTTTAAAATGTAAACATTTCTTGATGTGTAGCGTAAAAATAGCAAACGGGAGCAGAGGCAACAAAAGCTCCCTCATCAGATGAACAACAAAACGAAGGCAACGCGCCGAAGTCAATTGAATTTAATGCCAGGCCTGACAAGTTAAATGAACTTAACTAAAAAAACGCCTCAATTTTTGGGTTGTTTTAATAATTTTTTTTATTTGGCTCTTTTAAACCTTCCCAATATAACGTAATGCAAAGAAGAACCGAGAAAAACGTGCTCAGAATGCATTCATGCAATTAAAGCAAATTAGTGAGAGAACAAAGCCGAAATCATTCAATTTACATCAAGTGCGATAAGGAAGAGCAATGGAGATGGATGGAAACAGAGCCATGCTTTGTATGGGTCTTTGAGGTTAAGGTTTATTGAGCTCTGGGGATCTCTTAGCGGGCAGTCTCTCGAATAATAAGAACTCTTTATCGTCAGAGGGTTAAATATTAATTTGATTTTTTAACGAACGCTTGTGGATACAGCTTGAATCTGGTGCGACAACAATCTATTCAAATATACACATGGCTGGTAAATATTTGATCAGCAAATTTGGCGCTTTAAGCAAATGGCCAAAATGAAATAAAACAGCTTCCCGAATCAGCATACTTAACAAAAGACCCGAAAGTCTCTGGCGAAAAATCGTATATGGGAGACCGGAAAAAGCCGGAGCGAAGACATATGGCGAAAGCCAAATGCTGAAAACGGGTTTTTTCGAATTTAACTCATGATTTTCCTTCTGTCTGTAGAACAAAAAGGAATGGAAAGAACTAAAATAGGTGAAATAAAAGCTGGCAAAATCCACTGCACCATTCAACATTGTCAGCACGTTTCCCTGTTCGTCATACTTTGTGTTTTCTCTTCCAGCTCGTGCAGTTCGTTCTAAAAGCGCATTTGCATACACACAACTATTGATAGACGAACTACAATCTAGTTTTGTGTTATGCCCACAAATTCTAGACAAACAAAGCGGGCTAAAAATTGCACGTTCGAATATATGAAATATGTGAGTAGCTGCAGATGAAATCCATCACTGCAGTGGGGTCTGGGTTTTCTCCTCCTCCAATCCACTCGTGCGTTTCATTGCGGGACACTTGCGAATGTGGGTCAAAGTTGAATACAATCAGAGCTGAAAGCTTACATCAGCACTTTCGAACACACCCACGTTTTTGTGCACCTAAAAAGTGCATCGAGAAGTAGTGAGTGAAAAACACTGTTCTTTTTGAAAGACCTATAAAATGGATCTTTTGTTTCAAGTAGATTGCAATTCAGTCGTAAAAAGTGGAAACCCTACACTTACAAAAAATTAAACCTTGAGGTTATAAAAAGATTTTATTGGATATTTATTTGTTTGCCAAATCGATCCTATGAGAGGTTTATGATTTCATTCATTCATAAATGAATGTTAGAACGAGTTGTTAGAAGAAACCTCGAAATTTTGTATCTTACGATGATCAAGAATTCCGTATACCCATTATTTAACGAGTAAAGGGTACTTAAAAAATATTGCATTAAACTGGGGATTTAAGTAATATTTCTTATATGACCACGATAAACATTTCCTGTTTTCGACGGAAGGGAGATTGTTCTGCGAAGGGTTTTATCACCGAACAAAGTAGAGTAAATGGGGATGCTTAGTTGCCATATGGTATATGGGTATCATGTGAGGATCGACCGAAAGTCAGTCAGCTGGAAAGTGAGGTAAGCGCAAATGCAACACCTGCTGCGCCCGAAAGTGACAAAACGAAACCGAAATTGGGTTTTCTATTTTAATGAAAAAAAAGAGAAAAGGAGCTTCAGTCATTTTGACCAATTTTATAATTTTGTATAGAATAAAAATATTTTACTACACATTAAAAAGACGTTCTTAGAGGCAGATAATATCGAATTATTTTATGTGCTGTTTTTTTTCTCTGTGGAAAGTAATATGCAGTCTACACAATAAAATCCCCCCACAAATACTATCGAAAAAATGGGTCTCTCATCCATAAATGTCACTGTACCTCCCCTTTCTTATCGCCAAGGCGCCAGTAAATTGTCGGAACTAACGTAGCATATCGGTTTATGCAATATTTTCGTATTGTACAATAGCTGCAAAGTTTCTGCTTGCCACACTAGTCACCCAGGCAAACATTTAATTAATTAACAAATACGACCTTGACTGGAATTTCAATTAAGTAAAAAGCTTGTGCAAACTTCAATGGAAATACAAATAGATGTGGATAGAGGAATGAAATAAAAGCAAAGTTGCCAGGGTGATGTGGTTAAATATCAATTGCGGGTAACTAACCTTTTGACGACGTCCGATTCGTTCCGATCCGATTCGATTCAACAATATCCGATCCGCAAAGCTGGCTTAGTAGGTTTTTTTGTTTGTCTTTTGGCGATGGCGATGCGCCCAAAAAAGGTGGACCAAAAGCGGTTAAAAGTTAAAGAGAGTGACTAATGCCGCACGCACACACTCGCAGCTAATTTGTTGTGACACACACACACGGGCATCAACTTTGCACTCTTCTCCACCCTCTCTGACCCTCTCGCTCGCTCGCATTCAAGGTGGTTAAACGAGAGGTGAGCCAAAAACAACAACAACGGCAGCGGGCCTGCACACACACACAAGCGCGCTAAATAGCTGAACAGCAGCTGCAAATGTAGTAGCGCGAATCCGATTTAAAAAACAACAAAGTAAAGGAAACGGGAGAAGAAGGAAGTGCGCCTGCAGCTGCGACAATTATTGCTCGATTATTTCGCAGCGTGTATTGCAAAATATGCGACTTCGTTTTCTTAATACTTTTGTTTAATTATACGCACGCACACACACCAAGGCACTTTTCCATAACGAACGACTACGAACGACGTTCTGCTCGAATCACTTTGAATTATGCTATTTGATAGCGATATCTGTCTGCCTTGATATGCTCCGGTTTTAAAAGTGGTGTCGCAGCAAAGTTATGGAATAATTTAATTATTTTCAGTTTTTATTGCGCCGCGAACGTCCGTTATGTTGATTCTGCCAGAGTTAAAGCTAGAGGTGGGGGAGCAACGATGGAAATATCGATTTTGAAAACATCGATGTTCCATGGCGACTATCGATGTTTTTGGTAAAAACAATTAATTATATATATTGTTATAATATGAAGTATTATTTCTAGAAACCTCTGGAAGCTGAGCATTAATAGGTTTTGAAATAAGTAAAAGCCTATCCAAGATGCAGAGACTCCAAACAAGTTATCGATAGCAGAGTGTGCAGAGCTATAATGTGACCGTTTCTCCAGGTGAGCTCCCTCCCAGTCTGACCACATCGAGACGCCCCGAAAATACTGCCTAATAAAACCCGAGTAGGCTTCGCACATCCCTTCGAAAGAAAGACTCCCGACATATTTTATTTAGCCAGCCCAAACGCCGCCGACGAACGCCGAAAACGCGCGCACATCCGCAAACACAACAACAAGGACAATAGCCCAGCAACTTGATATTTTTGACCAGCTGTCGGGAACAACTAAATCGAAGCTGTGAAAATGGATGACTCACGCGAAGAAAGCCAGTTCATTGTGGACGACGTGAGCAAGACGATTAAGGAGGCCATCGAGACGACCATCGGTGGCAATGCCTACCAGCACGACAAGGTGAACAACTGGACCGGCCAGGTGGTGGAGAACTGCCTCACGGTGCTCACCAAGGAGCAGAAGCCCTACAAGTACATAGTGACCGCCATGATCATGCAGAAGAACGGGGCGGGACTGCACACGGCCAGCTCCTGCTACTGGAACAACGACACCGACGGATCCTGCACGGTGCGCTGGGAGAACAAGACCATGTACTGCATCGTTTCGGTCTTCGGACTGGCCGTTTAAGAGGGAAGGACTGGAAGGATTCGCGACTGGAACTGGAGGAGGAGGAGGATCACCCGGGACTGGGGATCAATAATCGCAACTAACTGATAAGGGGGAGGGATTAACAAGATTGCCGTCGTACACACACCACACAATACCACACACACACACACACACTTTGATCGGCCATCCTGCTGCAAGGACGAAATTAATAATGAAACACTGGAAAACAAGGTTGTTTCCAAGCAGTTACCTGCAACTATTCGTTGCCAGTGTACGCGCCCAATGTTATTCTTGATTTTCAATCTAAAAGTATAAATAAAAAATTTAAAAACATAAGAATAACCAGTGCTGATATACTGTAATATTGTTTCCATGGCATCTACTTGTTTAAAATCGATTAAAATCAGGGACCGTAAATAATCGTTAAGATTTTTATTTTAAAAAGACTACTGCGATATTTTGTTTTAAAAGTCAAAAATAACGTTCTTTTTACTCTTGTCCACAAAAGATATGCATGTCAACAAATCTGCAAAGCAAATTAACTGTTATTTGTCCATGTCTATAAAGTGCATAAAAACCAGTTAAATTTTTGACTAAAACTTGTACAAATCTCAGTAGGCCTTTTAAAATAATTATTTACGGCCTCTGGTTTAAAATCGATTAAAATAGTTAAGGAAAGAATGTTCTCTCGATTATGGTTGCTATTTCTAGCATTTTACGCTCTCTAATAGGTAAAATAATAATAAATAATAATAAGGCTCTACTTTCTTTAAGAAAGTGCTCCGAATAGTGAAAGTAATACTATCCTTTGCCTTGTTACCATAAAGACTTAATTTCTTTTAAATTAATACCATATTTCAGTGAGTTAAAGCTGCCCAAAATAATACCCAGTGCATCTGGCTAAAATAAACTTTATTGACCCGCCGCCGGGTTTGTTTAATCGATGGCGGGCGTGGTGTCCTTGAAGATACTCCCCCTACTTTTTGCGCTGGAAGCGACGGGCCAACTTCAGTGCCGGCACCTTGCTGGGCAGGCGCAGGCTCAGGATGTCCGAGCGGGATTTGGGCAGGGCGTTCACAATATGGGCGTACTGCTTGATTCGATCCTTGCTGGTGGCCAAAGCGCGGGACAGGACATTAATGTCCACCTCGTACTTCTCGCTGATGAGCAGGGCCATCACAATGAAGTGCGTCAGGGCCTTTTCACTGCTGAAATTGGTGCGAGTGCCCCGCTTGGCCACATTGGGATCCGCAAAACGATGGCGTATGTCATTCTCGATCTTCTCCGTGATCCCCGAAAGCTCGGCCCTCTGCATTTGCCGCGAACGAAGGGCAATCAGCGACTGCAGGGCGTCCATGTAGATGATGAGCTTGATGTGCAGGAAGTCCTGCTTGGAGGGCACCGCCTTCTCTTGAATGCGTGCTAAGCAAGTCTTGAGGTATTCCGATTTGATGCTGAAATGAAGGGGTTTGTTAAGCTTTATTTTATTGTTGGTTAAACCATAAACTTACGGGAGATCCTGGGCTGGCGTGGAGAACACCACCTTGGCCTCCTCGTCCAGCCTTTCGAGCAGACCGCTCGGCATCAAATGCTTCACATCGTAGACACCATCCAGCTCGGTGGCCTCCTTGTCGAACTTGGGCACAATGCTGGCCAGGTACTCCTCGTTGCTGACGCTCACATCCGCCAGCGAGTCGTCCTCTTCGTCTCCGTTGAGCGTCGTTGATAATTTCACCGTCTCGTCAAGATCCTGACGCACCACCTCCACATTGACCTTCATCTGTTCGCGGTTGTCCACGAATCGCGAGGCCTTGCGTCCGCCGAACTCCTTGAGCAGCTTCTTGCTGGCGTGCTCCTTGCTCAGCATGGGTGCCCTTTGACCCTTGCGCTCCAGCTGCTTGTAAATGTGATTGGACATCAGTGCCTGTTGCACGGGCACAATTTGAACTTTGTTGGTGGTCTTGTTGCGCAGACAGATGTAGGTATCGTATTCCTGGCTATCCTGCAGGTCACCCGTGTACACCTGCTGGCCGGCCTCCACCATAGCCCGCTTCTTGCGATCCGTGGTGCCCTCGACGACGCAAAAGTCTCCGGTGCCCAAAAGGGTTCCATTCTGGAATTTCACTGTGGATGAAGTTCAGTGTTATTTCTCTGGTAAATCGAGTGGTTTCATAGCTTACTCATGGTGGGCAGATGCTCGTCCCTTTGGTGATCGCACACCGTGTCTATTTGTATTTCATCCGCCATGCTTATAGTGATTTATTCATATATTTATCGAGTTATTTGAAAACTAATAACAATTCAAATGCTGCACGTGTAGGAAAAATGAAACAGCTGACTTCACGCAGACAAAAGCTAAGAGCTATGAAAAATCACAAATGATAACAATGTTAATCGATAAGCATCGATAATTTAATCTAATTTTAAATTTTCCAACAACGGTCAACGGTATTATGGCATAAAAACAAATTCATGCATAAATAGACTGTTAAATTAAAAGAAAAATTTTTTTTTATTTTAAATATTTTAAGAAAGTTTATTTTCTGAACTAAAAATATAGATTCATTTTCTTAAACAACTTTTAATTCTTAACCCATTGAAATACTTTATGGACGTCTGACAGTTTCCGGTGTAAAGGTGAAACCGGAAAGTGAATAGTGTTTGCTTTTGACTATCTTCACCACTTGCTGCAATTGTAAAATTTAATTTAGTTATTTCAAAGGAGTAAATCATGGGGAGGGCAACCTACCATGACCAGTTTGATGAGAAAAACGGCGAATGTCAAGAAGTTGATGCTCATGATTGCCGCCTCAGGCGGAAAATCTATATCTGAATCATCAAGTAAACCACGCCGACGACGCCTTTTTCGCTCTGGTGGCTGCCAAAGAACCGCGAACTGTTGCTCTGTTTGGAAAAATTTAAGAAGGAACAGATCACGATAAAATAAATCAAAAAAGTTCTTAAATAAAATAAATTTAAATTGGTTTTGTTTTGTACAGCAACAAAACTTTACAAATCTTATTAAGAAGTTGCTATTCTTTTTTTTACTTTTTCAGTCCGAATTAAAAATTTTTGAACCACTTTTACCTATTAGTCTCATGAGATTGTCGCGTAAGTTCTGTAGCAGCTTTATCTTCTTCCCAAAAGTCAGAGCCGATTTCTTGATCCAGGTGTTCTGCATGGTTTTAAGGAATTTAAAAAATCCCTGAATACTGGGCGTCTCCAGTCCCTCATCATCCGATGGCTGCTCTGTGGTCTCCTCCTCCCCCGATTCCTGACTTGCATTTTCAGGTGGAGTGGAGGAATGTTTCCTGGACGTGGTCTCAACTTTTGGGGTCACCACTACCACACTTGGGGTGGGTGCCTTCGTAGAGCTGACCAACGCAGGATTATTAATTCCAAACCTTTCTCGCTGATATTCCAACCATGCCGAACTGGGCGTTGTAAAGTCATCTCCCTGCTGACTAATCCTGGACAGAATTACCAGAATGAGAAAATTAAACACAAAATAAAACATCTTGTCTGCTGGTTCGCTGTTGAAGAACTGCTGGAAAGTGCGGATAAAGTCTTTCGAGAAAGGTGTCAGCCGTCGCAGGCCACTGATTTGTGATACAGTGGTGCACATTAAGATGAGACCATGCAATGTGGGTGACAATATAAACAGCCATGGTAATACAAATACCTCTTAAAACTATAGAGTCTAAACAAATATTTTATTTTTAATTTAAGTTCCCTATTAAGATTTGCAGTACAGGTTCAAATATTAATTTAAAATGCTATGCACCATTTGAGTTTTTTTTAGAGTCTAAAAAATGTGGAATAAAATGTAACTAGACATTGTATATTAATGATCAAATACAATACCATTTTCGTACCCGAATTACAAAAATTACCGAAAGCAATAACCCAAAAAATGTTATCCCAAAAAATATATATTATTCTTACCTATTTTTCTTTCCACTTTTGTAAATAAAGAGAGTCAAATGCACCTCTTAATTGTCCAGCGTTATTTATTCTGCTATATTTTCTCTGCCAATCGTTTGGTTGGTGTTTTTTGTGTACCTTATATGGCCATTGGTTCTAAGCTGGACCTTAGCTTCACAGCTACTTCTGGGTTTTTGTATATAGTTATTAAGTATTCGTGTAGTGTTATTCATAAGAGTTGCCTTTAGGTGGTTAACGAATTAAAGCTATCGACTAATTTTGATTCTAGAGAAAAATTTAGCACACAGAGTTGGTAAGTTAGAATAGAACAATTCACTTGTTTAGCGTTTATCGAAAAGCGAGTTAGAGGAGATAGGATAAACTTATGGGCTAGGCAATAGGGTTGTACTGCTATTTGATGTGCCGGCAGAGATGGAACCGCATCCATTTCAGGGCCTTGTCGCTCATCGCCTCCGATTTGGGCGAGTTCCCGCAGTCCGACAGCCGATGGCATCCGGCGCAGTCCGCAGGGGATGGACGATAGCTCTCGGTGGCGGTGGTGGAGCAGTTCATTATCTCGGTGGTGCTCTCGAGGATCGCTTCGGGCTCGAAGCCAGGTCACATGTCTCCCGCACAATCCCAGCGTAGGTCGTCTGCCTCATGGGTCAAGTACCGACCGCCGCCCACCTGGGTCTCCAGGGTCCTAAGGTCGCGGTACGTCTGCTTGTCCTGCAGCCAGTAGTGCAGCAGACTCTTGTCCACCGTGTACCGCTTGCGCTGCTTCACCTGCAGCAGGTTGTTGATCAGGTCGATGGCTGTAGGAAGACAGGGGAAAATAGGTAAGTGAGAAAATAAGATAGTTCGAAAAAATATTATCAAGAGAATTCAGAAGTCCCTAATACAATTCTAAATGAATAAGAACTTTTAGTTCTTAGGTCTTTCCCGAGAAACTTTTACTTAAATCTCTTATTATGATAGTTTAGTAGTTTTAATATTGTTAAAAAATACATCAATTCGTTGGTAAAAAACCAAAATCAATTATAAAAAAAATTAAATTTTATAGGATTTAAAATATTAAAATTTGTATTTGCTCTGAAATCTATTGAAAATGAATTAATTAAATTCATGTATTTTAGTTTAGTAGTTAATTAGGGTGTTCAATTGCGTTGCAAACTTTGTAAAGTGTAAAAGTGTATATTAATTCCAACAACAATTTCTATACAAAATAGTTTTAAAGGCCTACTTTTGAAAATTTGTTTGTATAGAAATTGTTGTTGGAACTGCCTTACACTTTTACACTTTACAACGTTTGCAACGCAATTGAACACCCTAAATACATTGTTAAAAAATACATTAATTTGTTGGTAAATTTTATATGGGTTTGAAATATTGAAATTTGGATTAGTTCTGAAATCTATTTAAAATAAAAAAAAGAAATTGTAACTTTCTAAAAGACTATAACCAATCCGCTTTGCCTTGATATAACAGTTTTTAACCCTGATTACCTCTTATTTCAAGTTAAAACTCACCATTTGAGGAGATCTCCTTCCACGGATTGGGAGGATACATGAAGGCGGCATTCTGAATCTGGTCGTTGATATCCTCCTCCTCGTTGAAGGGAAACGTGCCGCTCAGGCTCACATAGATGATGACGCCCACGCTCCACATGTCCAGCGATCTGTTGTAGCCCTTATTCCGGAGCACCTCCGGAGCAAGATAGGCCGGGGTGCCGACCACGGAACGCCGAAAAGACTTCTCTCCGATAATCCGAGCGTAGCCAAAGTCACAGAGCTTCACCTGCGGGAACTCGGCGTCCGAGGAGAGCAGGACATTCTCGGGCTTCAGATCGCAGTGGACGATATTTTGCGAGTGCAGGTACTTGAGGGCGATCAGGATCTGGGTGATCAGGAACTTGGTCACCCGTTCGCTCAGCCGACCCCTCGCATGCGACAGAATCATCTCCAGCATGTCGCCCTTGAGCTTCTCCATCACCACGAAAATCCGCTCAGGGGTCTCGAACATCCTCTCGAGATTGACGACTCCGAAGTGCGAGATGTTCTGCAGGATGGCCACCTCGTTCTTCAGCTGCGCCTCCTGTTTGGTGGGGAAGCGCAGCTTGTCGATCACCTTGATGGCCACCTCGCGCTGCGTCTTTTTGTGCACTCCACCGTAGACCACGCCAAATTGCCCGGATCCAAGGACCTCGTCAGGGAAGATCTGGTACAGCTGACCCATGTCCTGCACCTGCTCCTCCGATTCGCAGCATTCTGGAGGAATAAAAATTAAAATCAAATTAAATGGATAATGCTCATATCACAAAAAGTGTAAACGATGCAGCGGCAGAGTTTTCTTTTTAAAGAGATTAGATACAATTTATAAATTATGAATTATACTTTTCTATAATTTTGGTATTAATTTAGAAATATAAATGTCAATGGTCCCAATGGTCTTTTAAACTTTAAAAACTTCTCTTTCGTTCTACTTTTCTATAAATTTAGTTTTAATTTAAAAATATAAATGTCAATAGTCCTAATAGATTGAAATTATTTGTTATGCATCAAAAAGTGTAAACGATGCAGCGGCAGAAATTTATAAAAAAGATTATAACTAAATTATAAACTATAAAGGGCTCCTGTTTCATACTACGTTTCTATAAATTTAGTATTAATTTAGAAATATATTGTTTTTTATGCTTCAAAAAGTTTAAACGATGCAGCGGACATTTAAAAAATAGATTATAGCTAATTTATAAACTTTAAACGACTTCTCTTTAATTCTACCTTTGCATAAATTTAGTATTCATTTAGAAATATAAATGCCAATAGCCCTAAAATATTAAAATTGTTTTTTTTTTGCTTCAAAAAGTGTAAACGATGCAGCGTCAGTCCTCTTTTATTCTACCTTCCTATAAACAGAGTATCAATTTAGAAATTTAAATGTCAATAGCCCTAATGGATTGAAATTGTTTTTTATGCTCCAGCTGCTGCATCGTTTACAGTCGATTTACTTACGCGTGTTGTTCACGTGCATGAAGGCCTGCCGGATGCTGGTCTCCCAGCTCTTGGCGATGTCACTCCCAATGCCGCTGTCCGGCGGAGGCAATCGAACGGCCTGCTCCTCCTTGGCGCCCACCTGCGGATCCTGTCCGACGAAGTAACTGAGATTGGGCAGGCGCAGCTCGAAGCAGTAGTTGCTCTCCGGCCGGGGATCACCCAGATGGGTCTCGATTGAGAGGAGCTCCGCCAGCGGCAGCTCCTTGTGGTACTTGCTACCCTGTTCCGAGACGAAGAGTGTGATGGTCTTGGAGTCCAGTCGCCAGTAATATCGCTTGACGGCCTTGTCCAGCGATGTGTAGTGCACCAGCCAGCCCTCCTTGAGGGCCTGGCCACCTCGCTTCTTGGTGTGCTTGACGGACTGCACGATCCTCATCAGCGGGATATTGGCACTGGGCGACGAGGAGGTTGAGGATTGCGACTGCTCCGACTGGCCATCGCTGCTCGACTTGCTCGTCTCACCGCCGCCGCCACTGGAATCGTCGCCCAGTCCGCCGTTGACCAGTTCTGGTGGTGAATTGTGGGCATTGGTCAGGGCCTTGGGGGCCTCCCTGGGTCGTCCTGCCACCAGATTTACACCCGCACTCGAGGACATGGCCGACTTGTACTTGCCATAGTCGGAGGAGCCCTCGTCGCAGTCGCTGTCGTCGAATTCCTCGCGAAAGAAGTTGTCCCGCTCCTTGGCGCCCGCTTGAATCTGCAGCTGGCTGAGCTGCGCCTCACCTGTGCAATCGTGGGGCACCTTGTCCAGGCACTTCTTGTGCGTGTTGTACTGACAGTCGCGGCACTGCAATCCCTGCTTGAAGAGCCCCTTGAGCAGCTTCTTGCACAGCTGGCACACCGTCGGTATGCCGTATGTGTGCACCATGAAGGTGTGCGGAATGCGGAGCACCATCAGTCCGTTCCGGCTGCCCGACGAATGGGTCCTCTGATGGCGACCGGGAATATTCTGGGAATTATGGAGAAACGAAGCAGAAAGACTGGGTTACTTAATTAGCAAATTGAGAGGCTCTGGAGATGGATTTGCCCAAGGGTATTCCCTGCGGAGAGGACTCGTTTAATGGCGTTAATTGGGCAAAACTAATTTTCATAATTTGGCTGGCTACATTGCAGGCTACCTCCTTCCAGATTCTTTTTTGAAGAAATTTCTAGGAACTTGAAATTAGTACTTATAACTGGGATAATTTAAGAGGTCTTGGATTTACAAAAAGGAAAATAAATTAAATATAACAACATTTCTACTGCATAAACAAGTAATAAAACAAATAAAATTACTTAAGAATCTTAAATCTTTCAAGCTTAAAATATTTATGGTTCAAAAAAGTTTCACTAGGAAAATTTGTTTGCCAAGATTAACCGAAAGCAGGAAACTATTGTAAAACTCTAAGCAAACTTTGATGATTAACTAAGTCCTTATTTCATTGAGAAAATAAAAGATGAAAAATAAATGTTTAGGGATGCATTTCCCTATTATACCCATATTCAAGCATCGTATGTATATCTTTATTAAACATTTTTCCCTTATTTTTTCTGACCTTGGACGGTGTGACTAGCATCAAACCA